TTTATAGTCCAAGTGAACTTTCTATAGTCTAGGTGAACTTTCTATAGGCCAGGTGTACTTTCTATAGTCCAGGTGTACTTTCTATATTCCAGGTGTACTTTCTATGGTCCAGGTGAACTTTCTATAGTCTAGGTGAACTTTTTATAGTCCAAGTGAACTTTCTATAGTCCAGGTGTACTTTCTATGGTCCAGGTGTACTTTTTATAGTCCAAGTGAACTTTCTATAGTCCAGGTGAACTTTCTATAGTCCAGGTGTACTTTTTATAGTCCAAGTGAACTTTCTATAGTCCAGGTGTACTTTCTATAGTCCAGGTGTACTTTCTATAGTCCAGGTGAACTTTCTATAGTCCAGGTGTACTTTCTATAGTCTAGGTGTACTTTCTAAATAATAATTTAGATTTCAAAATTGTAATTAATTAATTATTAAATTAATTATTAAATTAATTTAGATATTAATTTAATTTCTATAGTCCATGTCTACTTTCTTTTAATGTGGGGGATAAAAGACGTGTCCTGATCAAAAAGAACACCAAGATTTTTAACATTAGAGCTGGAGGACAGATTAATGCATCTAAGGAGGGAGAAAGACTGAAACATTCATTCCTAAGGTGCTCAGGTCCAAAAACCAAAACCTCAGTCTTGTCTGTTCAAAAGGAGAAAATTAAGAGTCATCCAGGTTTTTATGTCTTTAAGACATGCTTGTAGTCTAAGTAGCTGATTGGATTCATTGGGTTTAATGGACAAATGTAATTGTGTGTCATCAGCATAAAATGAAAATTTATCCCATGCTGTTTAATAATTTTACCTAATGGAAGCATATACAAGGTAAACAGTATTGGTCCAAGCACTGAACCTTGAGGAACTCCATGACTAACTTTGGTGTATGAAGAAGATTCATTATTTACATTTACAAATTGTAATCTATCAGATAATATGACTTAAACCAATTTAGAGCTGTTTCTGTAATTCCAACATATTATTCAAGCCTCTGTAGTAAAATATTAACTATATTCTCTCTCTCTCTCACCTAGGGACAATTTAGAGATACCAGTCAGACTAACATGCATGTTTTTGGTCTGTGGGATGAAACCAAGCACCTGGAGAAAACCCACATGGAGAGAACATGCAAATTCTACCCAGAAGATCCTGGTCTGGGATTTGATCCGGTGACCTTCTCGCTGAGAGGCAACAGTTCTAGCAACTGATCCACCGTGCTGCCCTTACTTTGAAAATCAACACTGAAATTGTAGTTGCTCTAAAAATGGAAGTTATATGTCATTTAGGTTTAGGTTGATACGTTTCAATATTACAGTGATGTTTAGATTTCATTACATGATGAGACGTTAGAGGAACAGTACGTTCTGTGGATTACTGTTCATTTTTAGATTGAATTTTAGAAATGACCTGTTGGACTTGAACATAAGAGGCTGGGTGAGCCCCATGGGCTGCTGGGTAGTCTTGGGACAGAAATAGGTGGACTTTTATGGGTTATGTATTCAGATGGTTTGTCCATGTTGGTTCTTCTGCTGGGTTGGCATTTATTCTCAGGTTATTGTTAGTAACTTTAAAAACGACGACACCATAAGTCAGATGTTGTAACTGATGTGTGAAATGAGAAAAACATCCTATTTGGCACATTTCTGGATTGCACAGCTATATGTTAAATAACACAATCAGAACTCCACTCTAGTTTTGTCAGTCTTCATGTGTAGCAGGTTGCCAGTTGTCCAGGTTGCCAGTTGCCACAGTTTAAATATCCAATCTTAAAGCCGGGGTCTCACAGTCGCAGTCATGCACATTAGTAACAGCTTTCACATCCTCTGAGCAGAACTCAAGAAGCTGACAGAGACGTATAAAACAGTTCAGTTCAGCCCAGAGGACCTCCTCAAGCACAGAAACTAAAAGCTGCTCTGGAGCTTCTTTAGCTCAGTCAGAGGCAGGAACGTCCACTGAAGCACTTGTGTGTCAGGAACACTGTACTCAAAGCAGACCAAGTTGTGCTGCACTGCAGACGCCTCCAGTGGTCACAAGTGAGGAGCTAATGGCTGACGTGACTCAGACGAGTGAGCCTCATGTGTAAAACAACAGATTCTCTGCTGTCAGGACTTTAAAACACTTTGCTCTTTGTGTTTGACTCAGGTGGATAGAAACGGAGGCAGCAGCAGGCGGATACCAAGTGGACATCAGTAACGTAACAGATGCGATGGGCGTGCTTGGCATTGCAGGACCAAATTCCAGGAAGGTTCTCCAGAAGCTGACAGATGAAGATATGAGTGATGCTGGGTTCAAATTTCTCCACTGCAAGTCCATCCAGTTGGCTGGAATTCCTGTCCGAGCCATCCGGATCTCTTACACTGGTACTGGACACACTTAGACCTTTAGTAGGAGAATATTTATCTTCAATCACGTGATGAGCAACTGACATGAATAAAACTTAAAATTACTTCTATACATCCATCCATCCATCCATTTTCTTTACCCGTTTATTCCATTTTGGGTCACGGGGGTCGCTGGTGCCCATGTCCAGCAATCACTGTGCGAGGGGCGGGGTACACCCTGGACGGGTCGCAAGTCCATCACAGGGCCACACAGAGACAAACGAGACAAACAACCATTCACTCTCTCACTCACACCTAGGGGCAATTTAGAGTTACCAATCAGCCTAACATGCATGTTTTTGGACTGTGGGAGGAAACCGGAGTACCCGGAGAAAACCCACGCATGCACGGAGAGAACATGCAAACTCCACCCAGAAAGGCCCCTGGACCGGGGTTTGAACCAGGGACCTGCTCGCTGAGAGGCAGCAGCTCTACCAGTTGCGCCACCGTGCTGCTACTTCTATACATATACAATTATTTTGAAATGAGACAGAATAAGACAAACAAGTTAAAAAACTCAATTTGTGCCAGAAAATAAAAATGCAAAGCATTCGATAAGCTGGATTATTGAGCATGGACTTTGTTATTAGATAACCTACAGTATATTCTTTTGTGTTTAAGCATCATATTGACAATAAATGTGGAGCTTCCTCACCTACAAGAGACCAGCAGCCCTCTAAACGAGATTCTTCTGGTCATCCTTGTGGTCAGCTGTTTCTGGAGTGTTCAGGGTCAGACCTCTGCAGGTCTCCTTCTGCAGCTGAACGACTTCCATCCCCACATCTCTCCACATGCACTGTCCAATTAAACGAGTTGACTCAACTGAAGATTCTGTGCAGTTGGGTGAATAAATTAACTCCTCCTAAATAAACTTTGCTTTAGTTTAGTTCTTTTAAATTTATTAGTTGCCTGAACTGTTTTGGTTGTTTCAGCTCAGAAATCTATTTCTGTTCAATTAAGTTGTTAACTCAATATATTTCAGTTTAGCTCAGATGTTTATGTGTCAATCCAACATTTTTCAGTCAGGTCATCTGGACAGTTTCTTTTGTTACTGAACCGTTTCACCTTCCATCCAGAAGGCTTCATCAGTCAAGGAAACACACAACACAAAACTGAGTCTTCCCCCAACAGCTTACTCCAAAGTGGAACAAACCAGTTATGTTGGTGCTAAGATGGTGTCTTTGGCACGCCCCCTCCTCCGATGCCGGCCCTCTTCCTCATCAGCAGTCATGTGAAACTGGTTCAAAACCAGAAAAGTCCATGCTCAATAATCCAGGTATACAATCGGATTGTATACCTGGATTATTGAGCATGGACTTTCTGGTTTATGTGTCAACTTTTGTATTAGTTTATTTAAATAAACCATTTGACTGAAAATGACATTCTAGTACAACTTGTTCAAACAGTTGTGATACGATCTTTTGTTTGTAAAATGCATAAATCTTTCTGCTGATTTCGTCTTCCAACTGTCAGATTGTCTTAAAATCAGAAAAAATCGTGTTGCAAAACACTTGATTTCAGTAACTTCACTAATATCAAGTTAGTTATAGTGGAAAAACACCAACACTAATTCTGCTGCAACCAGTGAAACCTTTATTTTGATATTTGCAACGATAAAACAACAAACAAACAATAAATGTTTGTCCACTAAGTCCGACAGTGTGGACCTCTCACCTTTACAGGCAGGGACAACAACGAACCAAGCATTTCACAAATGTTCATTTTAACAGAAGGAGGCCTGTCTTCAAAAGACGTTAAACAAAAGTGTCACTATTACAAAACAAAAGGAAATAATCAAAAATCTGAAATCAAATTGAAATTATATTCAGTACAAACTTTTATGAATATGCTTATTTTAAATCATATTTCTGTTCTTTAGCTTTTGAAACTCGTGTCAATTTCTTCCTATTTTTTTTATCTTTTTTATCATTTTAAACTTTCCAACAAAGTTCTGTCAGGTCATCTGGACGTTTCTTTTTTTGGTTTGCTGAGACGTTTCGTCCTTCATCCAAAGGACTTCATCAGTCTGAGGAGCCACAAACAAACTCAGTCCCACAAGCAGCACCCTCCCATAGTGGACCAAGCAGTTTGCTGGTGATAAAATGGTTTGTTGGATTTTCTACCTGGATCATTGAGCATGAACTTTGATGTTTTGAACCACTTTGGCTGTGGATGCCTCAGAGGAGTCGATAAGGGAGAGGGCGAGCCCCTGAAACCATCTTATCAAGTCTTCGTGTGACTTAGTTCACTGTGGTGACCCCTGAAGAAGGGAGCGGCCGAAAGAAAAAATAATTAAGTTCTTCCATCCAAATCCTCTCCAACCTCTAGAGCTGGTGGAGCAGAGTTGTGTTTTGCACATCAAGTGTCAATCAAATATGTTTCTGTCTTTCTGTCTTTGGGTTTGTTGCAGCTCTGACTGCCTGTGTTGTCATGTTTGCAGGTGAGCTGGGCTGGGAGCTGTACATGAACCAGAACAGCATGGAAACTGTGTACAAGGCCATGATGGAAGCAGGAAAAGATGAAGGCATTGACGACTTTGGTACCTACGCCATGGCATCTCTCAGACTGGAGAAGGGTTTTAGAGGCTGGGGAGCTGAGGTACTCACACATTTATATTTCTATTCTTTGTAGGACACTCTGTTGACTCCCCTTCATTTCTTAAAGCCTAACCCCTGACCCCTGCTCTAAAACTAACTACCAGTACTTGCCTAACCCAAAAGTGAGGTTCCATCCTAATAGGGCCAGGAGGTGACTAAACCAGAAAAGGTAACAAAAACTAAGTCACAGATGTAATATTTTCTGTGTGCAAATTATACAGTAACAAGCAGTACACCAATGTCCCCCATCATTCAAGTAGGTAGGAGTTACACCAAGTGGGTGGGAGTTTCAATGCCCACGTGGGTAATGACAGTGTGACCTGGAGGGGTGTGACTGGGAGGAACGGCCTCTCTGATCTGAACCAGAGTGTGTTCTGTTGTTGGACTTCTGTGCTAGTCATAGTTTGTTCATTATGAACACCATGTTCCAACATAAGGGTGTCCATAAATACACTTGAGACCAGGTGGACCTAGGTCGTAGATCAATAATCGACTTTGTAGTTGTTGTTTTGGAGACTCGGGTGAAGAGAGGAGCAGAGCTGTCAACTGATCACCACCTGGTATCGACTTGGATCAGATGGCAGGGGAAGATTCCGGACAGATCTGGTAGACCTAAACATCTAGTGAGGGTTTGCTGGGAACGCCTGGCAGAAGAACCCGTCAGAAAGATCTTCAGCTCACACCTCCAGGAGAGCTTTAGCTGCATCCCAGCTGAGTCAGGGAACATTCAGTTCAAGTGGACCATGTTCCATGACTCAGTTATTGAGGTATCTGCCTTGAGCTGTGGCCGCAAGGTTGTTGGTGGTTCTCACAGTGACCATCCTCGAACTCGATGGTGGATACCCCGGGTTAGAGAGGCTGTCAAACTGAAGAAGGAGTCCTGTCGAGCCTTGTCGGCTGGTGGGACTCTGGAGGCAGCTGAGGAGTACCAGAGGACCAAGCAGTCCATATCCTTGGCTGTTGCTGAGGCAAAAGCTCGGATGTGGGAGGAGTTCATTGAGGTCTTGGATAATGACTCTCGGTTGGCTCCGAGGAGATTCTGGCAAACCATCAGACGGCTGAGGAGGGGAAAACAGCTCTTTACTAACACTGTGCTCAGTGAACGTGGGCTGCTGTTGACCTCAACCAGTGATGTTGTCAGGAGGTGGAAGGAAATGCTTCTAGGACCTTCACAATCCCACTGGCACACCTTCCATGGAGTAGTCGGGGAACTTTGGGGTTGGTCTGTCTATAACTGTGGCTGAGCTCACCAAGGTAGATAAAAAGCTCTGAGGTGGCAGGGCTCCGGGGGTGGATGAGATTCTCCCTGATTTCCTTAAGGCTCTGTATGCTGTGGGGCTGTCTTGGTTGACACGTCTTTGCAACATTGCATGAACATCAGGGGCAGTGCCACTGGATCGACAGTCTGGGGTGGTGGTCCCCCTCTTCAAAAAGGGGGACCAGAGGTTGTGCTCCAATTATAGGGGCATCACTCTCCTTAGCCTCCCTGGTAAGGTAAATGGACTGTACTTATATAGTGCCTTGCTATCTTATTTCAAGATACTCAAAGCTCTTTACAACAGTCTGTACCTCATTTACCCATTCATACAGCTCCATACTAGATCTCTACAAAGATAATTGAACAAATCATTCTAAAGAGACTAATCAGAGCTTTATCACATTCAGACACTGATGGGACACACATCAGAGGCAACGAGGGGTTCAGTGTCTTGCCCAGGGACACTTCGGCATGTGACTGCTGGTGGATTCGAACCCCCAACTCTTGCAGGACGACTGCTCTAACCACTCAGCCACAGCCGCCCCTAGGTTTATTCAGGGGTACTGGAGAAGTGAGTCCGATCATTGATCGAACTTCAGATCCAGGAGGAACAATGTGGGTTCTGTTCTGGCTGTGGAACACTGGACCAGCTCTTTTTTTTCCATTCAACCTTTAGTTCTACAGGTTAGTCCCATTGAGCCTCAAGGACTCATTTACAAGAGAGACTTGATTTAACAAAGAATGATGACAACAATGGACAATCATAGAAGAGGCACACAAATTTAATTATATATTTTTTACAAATTAAAATAAAATGGCAACCAAAAGAAAAAAGTAGCAAAAAAAAAATAGATTAGATTATAAGGCGATGTATAAAACTAAAAACAAGAACATCTGCAGGAACTTAACAGATGTTTGAAGCCACTTAGAGAGGTCAAAGGTTGAGAGCTTCAGGTCTTTTTACAAGATATTCCAGGAAACAGGAGCGGAGTAGGAGAAGGTCCTTTTGTCTAGTTCAGTCCTCGCTGAGGGAACCTCACTAGGGTCCTCGAGGGGTCATGGGAGTTTGCCCATCCAGTCTACGTGTTTTGTGGACTTGGCATTTGACCGTGTTCCTTGGGGTACACTGTGGGGGGTGCTCCATGAGTATGAGATTGGGGTCCCATTGTTCCTAGAGTTTCCAAAAGCAGAAAGGGAGGCAGATCTTTCAGTTCTCAGGCTCTTCTCTTGTGGAACCAACTTCCAGTTTCTGTCCATGAGGCTGACACATTGTCCAGTTTTAAGACTGGGATTAACACTTTCCTTTTTGATAAATCCTATAGTTAGGGTTGGCTTGTTATGCTGCTATAGACTTAAGCCTCCAGTATACTGCCGCGTATGTCCGTTCACGTGTACGTACGTGTGTACTGTCCGGGTTGTCATTAAACTCCAGCATACACCCCGAGCAGCTGCAGAGCAGCTTCACAGACAAGGGGCGTTTACCTTCGGGACAAATTGAGTTCGCCGATTGGTCATTTGCTGACACGCCTACTGGATTGATTGACAGGTCGGGGGAAAACAAAACAAGTGCTGGCAGCCTCAGTCACAGTGGTGTTCAGTGTTTATATGGTGTTAATAAAAATATCTAAAAAATAAAAAAAACAGGGAGTGCTGGCTCTGCAGCCAACACATCAGACCAGCCCACCAGGAAATCTCCAGACCCTCCCACAGCCACGCTGGACCTGAGTTTAATTCTCTCGTGGCAAATTCCTCCATTTCTCCCCATTTCAGTCATGGCATCAACGGAGGAGGAAGAGATCACTGCCTCTTGGCAAAAAAATTAAAGAAAAGGCCAGATGAAGAAGGGGAATTTAATACATTGGTGTCACATACAAAACAGTCCGTTGCCGGGCAGTTTATTGTGCGACACCGCGTACGCGTATGCGGTCGTAAAAATTTGAGCTTTGCACGGACATGCCCTGGGGGGTACGCTCGTATCTCTGCGTACGTACGTGCGTACCTCTGCGTATGGATGTACGCGGCAGTATACTGGGGTCTTTGAACTACTAGAGGACAAATTGACCTCATTTCCTTCAATGAATTGTTACAACTGAATAGTTTTCATTTGATACTATTTCTATCTTAACATACCATACCATACCATACCAATTTATTTATAAAGCACTTTAAACAGTGACAAAGCACACCAAAGTGCTGTACAGGGACAAACAGAACAAGCACACAGCAACAGATTACATAACAGGAAACCAAAAAGTAGAAACCGACAAAAACAATAATGGATAACAACAACAACCGCAACATGACCAACACAGTGTGATGCACACAGACTCAGCACAGATCACACAGTGCAGAAAGCCAGGGAATAGAAGTGTGTTTTTAAGCGAGATTTAAAAACTGTGAGGGAGGGGGGCTGTCTAACGAGCAGAGGTAACTCATTCCAAAGTCTTGGTCCTGCTACAGAGAAGGCCCTGTCACCTCTGCGCTTGAGACGGGTTCCTGGGACTGTTAGGAGCAACTGGTCTGCTGATCTGAGAGAACGTGGTGGGACATACGGCTGGAGCAGATCAGTAAGATAGGAGGGGGCAGAGCTGTTTAGTGATTTATAGACATACAAGAGTATTTTGAATTTGATTCGAAGGTGAACCGGAAGCCAGTGTAGGGAGGCCAAAACAGGTGTAATGTGCTCTCTTTTGCTTGTGCTGGTCAAAAACCGGGCTGCTGCATTTTGGACCAGTTAGAGTCTAGCTATGGAGGTCTGACTGATACCAAAAAGGAGTGAGTTGCAATAGTCGAGCCTGGATGTAATGAATGCATGAATTACTGTCTCCAGGTTATTTTTGGACAATATGGGCTTCAGCTTAGACAGTCGCCTCAGCTGGAAAAAGCAGGATTTAACAATCATATTTACATGATTGTTGAGTTTCAGAGAAGGGTCAAGTATCACTCCTAGATTAGTGACTCTTTGTTTCACTAACGGTGACAGAACGGATAGGTCGATGCAGTGGTTGGTGATTGTGTCATTGGGAGGAAACAGCATAACTTCAGATTTCTTCTCGTTGAAACTCAAGAAATTTAAAGCTATCCAATCTCTGATGTCAGCCAGGCAGTCCAGTAACGGTTGAATAGAGCGAGTACCGTTGAGTCTGAGGGGGAAGTAGATTTGGCAGTCGTCTGCGTAGAAATGAAAAGGTATGTTATGTTTCCTGAAAATAGCACCTAGTGGCAGCAGGTATAAAGAAAATAAAAGAGGACCAAGGATGGACCCTTGCGGTACCCCCCATTTAAGCGCTGCCGAGGCTGAACTAAAATCTTTGATGGAGACACAAAAGGACCTGTCAGCGAGGTATGATCTAAACCATTCGAGGGCTGACCCAGTGATGCCCACCCACTGCTCTAACCTCGCAATGAGGATCTCGTGGTCAATTGTATCAACGGCAGATGTGAGGTCCAGTAAGAGAAAGAGCACAGAATCACCAGCGTCTGTGAATAGGAGAATGTCGTTAAAAACCTTGAGTAGAGCAGTTTCAGTGCTGTGGAGAGGTTTAAAGCCAGACTGGAATAGCTCTAAGATGGCATTATCCTCTAGAAAGCATTTCAGCTGGGACTCCACTATTTTTTCCAGTAGTTTAGCGACAAATGGGAGTTTGGAGACAGGCCGGAAGTTGGACATGACTGAGGGGTCAAGGCTAGGTTTTTTCAGGAGAGGTTGGACAGCAGCATGTTTAAAAGTTATTGGCACCACACCTGAGGCTAAGCTGCTGTTCACAATGCCAAGAACAGGAGGGCCCAGAACAGGAAGAAGCTCCTTAAGGAATCGTGGGGGGACAACGTCAAAAAGGGGAGCCAGATGGCTTCATGCCGCACATGACCTGCTCCAGGGAAGACAGAGAGATGGGCTCGAAGTGGTCCAGAACAGCAACACAATGAGATGGGATGGACAGATCATAAGCAGGTGGAGAAATGAGTGCCCGGGTGTTTGCAACTTTTTCAGAAAAGAAATGGAGGAAGTTTTCACACAGCTCAGTTGAGGCTTCTAGAGGTGAAGGTTCACTGAGGTGTAGAACTGAGTTCAGGGTGGAAAAAAGGGCTCAGGGGTTGTGGGAGTTTGAGGCAGTTATCGCAGAAAAGAACTTCGATTTGGCGGCTTTAACTGCCTTCTGATAATGACGCCAACTCTCCTTTAGGATTTGAAAAGAAACCTGCAGCCTGTCTTTCCTCCATCTGTGTTCTGCTCTCCTACACTGCTGTCTAACGGCTTGAGTGACGTCATTAAGCCATGGTTCTGATAAAAGTTTTGTTTTCCTGGTTTTAACGGGAGCAACACGGTCCAGAATATTTAAGCAAACAGAGTTAAGCTGAGAGGTTAGCTCCTCGGTGGAGAGAGACACTGAGAGCTGATCGATCCTCTCAGAGCTAAAAGCTTCAGTAAAACGTGCAGCAGTGAAACGGTTAATGGCGCGTGAAGTACGTGCAGAATCGCATGACTTAGCAGTAGGACAAGGCGGGATGATATCAAACAAGACAGGCATGTGGTCTGAGAGAACGTTGTCACCGATCACCAAATTACAAACGGAGACATTGCGTGTTAAAATGAGATCCAGAGTGTGACCGTGTTGTTGGGTGGGAGCATTTACATGTTGAATTAAATTAAATGAGTCCAACAAATCAAGGAAGTCCTTCACTAACGGCTTCTCCTGACAACAGACGTGAATATTAAAGTCACCAACGATAATAAAGTGATCATATCTTGGTGTGATGTAAGCCAGAAAATCAGAGAATTCACTTATGAAGTCCTTGGAACGAGGGGGACGATAAACAATCACGCACAGAACGGGCGGGGAATGTCCGAGTTCAAAAGCACTCAGCTCAAAACTGGAGCAGGGCATGAGGGTGGACAAGTGTTTACAGGAAAAGTTTGATTTAAATACAGTTAATATTCCACCACCCCGCCGACCTGATGGCCGCGGGGCATTAAAACACAGACAGTCAGGAGGTAAAAGTTCCACCAAGGCACTTTAATCACCCAAAGGCAACCAGGATTCCGTGAGAAAAAGAAAATCTAGACCCTCGTCTTTAAAAAAGTCATTTAGGATAAAAGTCTTGTTGGCAACAGACCTTGTGTTGATGAGGCACGTCCTGATCTGGTCCGACACAGAACCAGCCATGGTGGGGGTGGTGCGCGCCAACGGTTGCAGATTTTCAAAAACAGCACCTGCAGGACGGTCCAAGTGCCGTGCCGGTAGACAACACCCATATCTTCCCTGGTCCGGGCACGTAAGAAGCTGGCTGTGGAAACGTTGCCCATGCAGAGCTTTGAGTTTTACCAGCCGGCCGGCACGTTTTCCCCTGGCGTCTGGATCGATATCTCCGAGAAGGCAGGCTTGGGGCCCAACGTAAACAAGCAGGCACGTCTGCCAGAAGGGGTGGAAGAGGGGGGGGGGTCCCGAGTCACGATCAAAATGGTCCGAATCAGAGACAGCAGATACAGACAATTGACGATCGAGGAGCTGTTGTCGGTCATACACAAGCAGCGAGTTGATATCCCAGACAAAAAACGAAAAAAGCAGAAATAATCCAAACAGTGTCGTCAGAGGTAGATTGCAGGCCATGTACACGGGTGCCATCTTACCGGAAGATGGCGCCCGGAACATGTGATTCTGGACCTGCCATTGTGTATCTGTTCCTACCAAACCCAGCTGGTCGAAGCAGATGGTCCTCTTGTCCTGATCCTGGTTCTGCTAAAGGTTTCTTCCTCATGAGGGAGTTTTTCTTTCCACTGTCGCCTTCATGCTTGTTCAAGATGAGAGTTCAGTGATGGAGTTAAACTCAAAGCTGCTCCTCAGATAAATAATGTTCAATTATTATTTTATGGATGAAAGTTTCTGTTCAGTCCCTGAGACGACTTCTGTTGTGACTTGGAGCTGAAGAAATAAACTGAATTGAAATATACTATATGGTGGTGGCCATCTTGGATTTTGACTTGGCAACCCAGTTCTCGAGGTGACCTTTCCATAACATCTATGCCTAGATGCAGCCACACACCAAAATGGAAGTTGTTACTTCACTTATTGTTGAAGTTATCATCAAGTTATTGTGCTCACAACGTGCACGAACCCCTTTAAGCTCTATGACGGGGGACAATAGTCGAGGGTTGGACAGAAACCCTATAAACCCTGTACCTACACATATTTGACAGCACTTTAGATGATACAGTCCAAAAACATAAAACAGTTCTGGAAATGTCATTTTGATACCCAACTTGTTTTTTGTTTATAATTTCTTAATTTTAATTTTAATTAATGAGACAAAGTTGTTGATGTCCACAGATGAACTGTGACACCAATCCCCTGGAGGCTGGGCTCGATTATTTCATCAAACTGAACAAGGTAACTGCTCATCTTTTCTGCTCTTCGTCTTCACACAATGAGGTCAAACTTTCAATATGCTGTTGTGCTCGTTGCTGAGCAGCCTGCTGACTTTATTGGTAAAGCAGCGCTTCAGGAGATCAAAGCCATGGGTTTGAAGAGGAAACTGTCCTATCTGTCACTCCATACAGACGATGTTGACCCTGAAGGTAACGAGACCATTTGGCACAATGGACAGGTAAGCTGAAAGAAGCTCATATCTGGTTTCACTGGGGTTTTCCTGTTGAGCCCGAGTCCTTTGTTCTCCTCAGGTTGTGGGAAACACAACATCTGGAGCGTACAGCTACAGCAGCCAGCAGAGCCTGGCGTTTGGCTACCTGCCTGTGGAGCTGGGCTCTGTGGGACAGAAGGTGGACGTGGAGCTGATGGGCAACAAGTACCCAGCCACAGTCATCCAGGAGCCTTTAGTCCTCACTGAGCCCACCCGGAGCCGGCTGCAGAAGAAAGGACAGACAAAAGCTTAAAGTGCAGCTTGTTTCTCTGCAGCCTGATCGTCCTGTAAATGATCAAACAGACACTGGAGAGTCCCACAGGATGCAACGTCTGCACATCAGGCCCAGAGAGTAATGAAGAAGAAGCTTCATGGTGATAAAAGTGAAAATGAGTCTGTTTGAAGGAGTAACTCACATGTTGTTATTCCATGAACAAAGTTCAAGGTTTCAACTGTGTCCTGAAGAACAAGACGTTTAGTCTTTTGTTCTTAGTGGACATTTAGAAACGCTGCTGTATTCTTCATACTAAGACACTTTGTGACAAATACCATGAAGTATATAAGCATAAAGAAGCTAAATGTTTACAAACCTGCACAAAGGTTCATTTTTATAAATCTGTTGTTTTACTAAAGGAATTAAATTGAAGAGTGTGTTTATATCTTGATCGACTCATTCAGTGTCTTTTTATCCACTTAGCTTTTATTAATTTATAGATATAATATTTAGTTAGGTATATAGAAATACTGGCGTTAAAACATAATGGTCTGGTCCTTACTTGGCATGTACTTGTACTACACTGTACCGCCTGCCTGGACTGGACCGCCCATCCTCCAGCGGTTCTTGTGCTGTTGCAGCAGTGTTTTCCTCTGCAGGGTGTCAGGAACAGCGTCCAGTCTAAAATATTTGTCTTGGTTTATGTGTCAGTTTGGCCCGTCCTGACCCTCCACGCTTTATCCAGTGTTTTGTTCTTTTCTGCTTTTACGAAGGGCTCTGCTTCTTTTAGCTCGTATTCTGCTTCTTTCAGCTTTGACAACTAAGTTCTGGCTTTATCAAAATTCCATCCATCCATTATCTTTTACCCGCTTCTTCCTTTTCGGGTCAAGGGGTCACTGGTGCCCATGTGCAGCAATCCCTGTGCGAGAGGTGGGGGACACCTGGACAGGTCTCCAGTCCATCACAGGGACAAAACAACCATCCACTCTCTCCCCACAGAGAGAACATGCAAACTCCACCCCGAAAGGCCCCTGGCTGGGATTTGAGCCGGGTGGGCCTGCTCGCTGAGAGGCGGCCGCTCTACCAGCTGAGCCACCGTGCTGCCCTCATCAAATCATTTGCTCCACATTCTTTAAGAAACTGCTGTTTCATTAATGTTTAATTCATTCAAACTTTATTTTTACAGGTTAGTCCCACTGAGCCTCAGGGACTCTTTAACAAGACAGACCTGATTTCTTTAACTGGTCTCTAAAATAAAGTGAACCGTCCCATTTATGAGACGTTTCAGAAAGTATAAAACATTAAATCTGATCAGTTCCAAGCAGCAGTTTAGCTCGTGTTCATTGGTAGAAAAGAATAAAACCGTTTTGTGCATAACTTTATTCAATTAAACAATTAATGTTGACACATTTAACATATGTTAAATCAACAAAATACTGCAACATCTGAAAATCATCACTTTTTTTATTTGAACGTTTATTTACATCCTGGGTTTCTGGGCCACGTGACGCTGTCGCGTCGTCTGATTGGCTGGCTGCAGTCGCAGGGTTTTTAATTTGCGGAACAAGGAAGTGGATCATGTGACAGACCTCGTCCTCGCGCTCTAAATAACGGTCCAGTTTTGTTTGTGTCCTGCTGCGGGTCGCACCTGATGGCAGCTGACCGGATGTCTCGGCTGATTTATGGGATCCTGGCAGCGGCGTTCATCGGATCACTTCCGGCCGACTCGGTGGCTCGGCGGCCGCACGTCGTCTTCATCCTGGCCGACGACTTCGGGTGGTTCGATGTCGGATATCACGGCTCAGAGATCAGAACCCCGAATCTGGACCGGCTGTCGGCCGAAGGAGTCCGCCTGGAGAACTACTATGTTCAGCCGCTGTGCACCCCCTCCAGGAACCAGCTGCTGACCGGAAGGTACCAGGTGAGACCCGGCGCAGACCGGAAGGTACCAGGTGAGACCGGTTGAGTTGCCTCGTGTCAGATTGTTCAAAAGTCCAGGTTCTTGTTTCATGATTCAGCAAATGTTTTGTGTTGGTGAGAGATCTGGACCGTAGGGGGCCTGTTCAGCAGCCGGACTCTTGTGGACCGTAGGGGGCC